ACATACATAATAATTATACGGTCGTGTATAGAACTTGTTGAACTTGCCAAAAGTTGTGTATACATTATACATCAACTCAATATATAATAATTTATAAAAGTATGCCGTTGATATAATAGTTTTATTTAAACCCGAGTTCACATCGCATATGCCTACAAAATATATGTACATATTATTTATAATAGTTAATTCTATGTGAAATTTTGCGATTTTAAGAAATAAAATATGTCATTTAAAAAAAAAAAAAAAAAAACTATGACCGGCTATTTCTATCATAGATGTTTTAAAGTTTTTTCCTAGGCTTTTGGTCTACATATATTTCAATATTATTCGTATAGGTAATAAAAATACACCCATATAGTATTAATTACTGTGTATTGATGTATTGTATTATTTAGTTTTATTMACGTCAGCTAATGTTTTGTAGAGTACATTATCTATAATTTATATTTATATACGTTATATCTATRTTCATATCAAAGTTTAACTTATTATTATAACTCACCACCCGACCACTATCGTCAAAACTCAACACCGATCGATTCACTAAACACTAGAAAATTGTTTTTATTTATAAAGTTTCTAGCGCGTAGTTCAGCCTTAGAAAAAAAAGTGTTGTGCTCGCACTGATATCTTCCGATAGCTTTTACACATAGGTCCGTATAATCGACACTTYGGCGAACCTGACCTAGTAACAACGACGAACGAATGGCGTTGCTAAGAAACAGTACGYGGTAGCAGTGGCGGTGAGGTATTAGTTCTCCGACACTTTGGATCTAATTGAGAATAATATTTTGCACTATTACGCACTCGTCACCGTTCGGAAATTCATTCGGATTGAACCAAATGCCTTCAATCCATCATAGGTGTATACCGTCTAAGGTACAGTGGTTGGAACAGAACTCTATGAAAAATGGATTCAAACCCGGAGTGTACGAAAAATACGGTCTGTACATGGGCAATTGGGAACATGACAGGAAACAAGGTGAGCTCACGATTAGCCATAGAAACAGAGGCAGGTCAACCGATTAAAGGTAGATTTTAATTGCCATGCGTTTAGATTGTTTCAAAATAGGATCGTCGACATAATATAGTCAGTTAAATAACTATAGTTCAAATCTTGGGGGTGCTACAATTGTTAAAATATGAATCGCTTACATAAACGGTAGCTTTTTTCCCATACCCCAGCCCAAATATTACATATTAACAATATTTAGATTAAACTATTATTCACAATATCAATATTGAAAAAGAAAATTTAAAATTTTTTATTTTTTTATATACCATAATATTTTATTATTTTAAAATTTAAAATGTTAAACATATCCCATCGATAGTAGCAAAAGTGTTCAATATTTCGTCTGAGGTCATGTAATTAGCTAAGTCTGATTATGGTTTCCGAATTCGGATAGTATTATATTGTAGTTTATTTTAATATATTATTATATATATTATTTATATTATTGGTTTCCATCTAAATTGTCAAATTTCACCTTTGGATAAAATTATTTTGCTATTTAGATTCGTCTATGTCATTGTATAACTAATTATTAAGTAATTGCCGTACCGTGTATTGTACCATAAAGGTCAGTTATGCCCGTTAACTTTCTATAAAATAAATAAATATTATATCATAATATATAATATACAGGTTGTGGAATTTTACCAGTTTTGTACATTGAAATTGTCATCTATAATATGTCACTACTAATCTTCGTGATACATTTATCTCTATATAAAATGAATTGTGCTAAATCATCGTTTGAGAGTAAATAAGTTTTTAAAAACCACGTGTCAGAACATATTATCTAGTTAATATTTTTTTCAATCGTGTTTAAATCACATATACGTCATATAAATGATAAAATGCTCATTATAGTTTTTTTTTTTTTTTTTTAATTTAAGAAATTTAATTTATATGAATTAATCTGACTAAATTAATTATAGTTTGGAAAAAAAAATGTTTGTATACCTATAAACAAAAAAATGGAATATTAAACAATACGAAAAACATTTTTAAATAAATTTAAATTATTATTAAAATGTGTAATTATTATAAATTTTAAATTTTAAAATTTGATTTT